TTGAAACAGCCTTGCTGAAGGATGTAAACCAAATCTTCCAGCGCACTTAGTTCTCTTCAGGAATGCAACACGCATTCGCTTTCTATTTTGAGTCGTTGTTGGCCACGTGAGGAGCTGTGGAACCAGTCAATGTAGGCGCCTTGTACCAATAAATGGACCACAAGCAATGAAGAGCTTATTCGGCCTGAGCGGGATCCCAACCAGGGTATCGGGCCACCACGCGTAATGCGGCGCTAATTGCCGCTTCGTTCAAGCACTTTCTCGAACAATTCAAAAATCTAAATAATGGCAATCTCAATGACGTTGCCGCAGTTCCACTCCACTTGCAGATTTTACTCATTTTTCGTGGTCATAATATTCAGTTGAAATAAAATCACCTTAGTTTATTGAGTAAGATTGAAGTCATAAGTTAAAGGAATCTTCCATGGACCAGTGGGCGGGACCGGAAGTGGTTTTGCGACGAAATGCATGGTAGGTACGGATCCACGTTCATGGGAAGGTTTGAAGTGAATCCTGTTCACGTTCGTGCGTTCGACACGTGGATCCGTACCTACCATGCATTTCGTCACAAAAACTTCCGGTCCCGCCCACTGGTCCATGGTCCGTGGAAGATTCCTTTAAGCAATGCTTCCATATCTCTTCGACGCTTACTGGTCAAATCAAGATCGGTTGGTCGGCAACGCCGCCATTCGACAGCAGCAGGTCTCGAGAGTTGCTCCGTTGTGGCGCATGAGACTCTACGGTTTTTCACCAATAAAAAAGGAAGAAATAGTAAATGAAACTCAATGACGTCGTGGTTTTCATAAGTAGCACCATACTTTATTTCTTTTCATTTTCTACTGACGAAACATAAGATTTTAGGTTTGACAAGGTGATCGAGGTGGCTCCAGGAGAAGATGTGGAATCGAAGGCGAAGATTCTGAAAGCAGTCAGCAGGAATCTCAAATTGGCCGACGACGTCGACCTTCGCAATGTGGTTCGGTACCTCATTCCTCTTGAACTGGCCTTTGTGACCCTTTCACATAGCACTACTAGATACGAATTGCCTATCAACTTCAGCTTGCTTGCTGAAAGCAAAATGAGATCTTCTGGGGTAGCATGTAACTAATCATTCCGTGACACAACTACTTTCGCACTTCATGCCGCTCACAGGCGCGTGATTTCTTGAATAGACATATTGGAATGGATAATATCGTAGCGCTCGTATTTTTCATTTCTTCACACAAACATTTGAAGCAAAAAATAAAAACATAAAACTAATCAGTGATGTTCACTTCGTCATTATTTACAACTTTAGTTAATTAACATTAGATCATCTGGAATGGCTTTCGCAGAGATCACCGGATATGATTTGGAAAAAAAGTATTAAGCTCTTTTAGACCTTATATTCTCGAGTTGACGAATGATAATATGTTCTTATGAGCGCAAAGGCTGGGTTGGTTAGAAGACGTTGATAGAAGAATTAGGTCAAAGGATCCAAGTCTGCGTTCTTTTTATTATTCTAAGACAAGATAGTAGCTTCGATTCGAAAACGCCGATTTTCGAGTTGGATTTATCCAACTTTGAGTCAAATACCTGTACAGCTCCAGTTTTGAATAAAGCGGCAACAACGGTTTTGTATGGCGGGAAGGGTACTTCCAAAAATAATATGAGATGTTTTCCGTGATCCTTCTACCGACCGAATTTATATGCTCGAAAAAAACGCTATGATATTATGCTCTAACCCAATATAATCAGCGACTTTTCAGGCAGAACAGTGTGATGGTCGATGGTCAGGAGCTGAGCTCTACTCTCTCATGTCTACGGCTGCCATGGAATCTATGCGAGAACAGGTGCGGGAGCATTCCACTACGTTTCTGTTGAGCGAAAAATTGCTGCATTCAGTGAAAGCCCGTGTACAAAACGTAACCAACAAATTTTAGCGCTACGATTCATGACTACTGTACAAATCAAAAATATTACGAAAACGTATGAGATCTTCTAGAGTATCCACGTGTTTTCACGAATCAAAGCGTCCATCCGAACTCAAGAGGCCGCCATCGTCAATCGTTACCCATTCGTGACAATGGTAGCCACGTGATGCTGACAAAGATCTCACTTGTACAATGGTATCCACCGGTGGCTGCCGTGTTTCAAATGGAATTTGGAAAGTTTTCTTTCCTGAAAAGAATCTTCATACCCTCATTCATCTATGCCAGACTTGGGCACAATACATCCACTCATTTATTGAAGAAAAAATCCGGACTCTCATCTAATGCGAAACTGCCGGATCGCGAATGATTTAAATGGTACTGAATGCAGATCCAGCAGATGAATCCAGTTGGGGGCGGTGTGGGAAGGGGAGCGGTGGAAGTAGCACTGACTGATTATCCTGTCCGCTGTACTAGAGAGCACCCCTTTGGGCTCTTGACGCTATGGATAAGATAAAGGTAAAGGACTCAACGACTCATTTCAAGCATACGCTCGATAAAGACCGATGGATGTTCTACATTTAACTTATCCCGCCCACATCCTATCCAATTTTCTGCACCAGGTTCTTTCCAAGTTCCTCCATCTCAGGCGTAGGTGGAGGGTCCATTTCAGTGGTCCGAGACATGGTATCGAAACTGTTGAAGTTTAACAGAATTCTTTCATGTCACGCTGTGTCATATCAGAAATGCTTTGAAGGAGTTCGTACGTGTCCTGACCTCTCCTTTCTTTAAGCTAAGCATTGTGAAAAGCAAGTTCAGCCTCCCCCCATCATTCCCCCCCCCGATGCATTTTTCACTCAGGGGCCTGTCATTTATTTCTAAACATTTCAATCCATAGCGGCGACATTTGAGTTTGCTCTGGTGCGAGGGGCAGGCACGATTCTGCCGGGACGGTCAACCCTCTGCCATCCATGGATTTTGGGTGATATATGTGCAAGACATGGATGGCACGAAGGAATTTTCAGCGATATTCAATGCGTTGAAACTTGGTAGTTGAAGAAGTACGATGTGAAGGAAGTGCCATGACAAAGTAAGTGCAACTTATACGCGTATAGCTGGTTGTTAGAGCAGAAGCAATTTTGAGATCCGTATAGGTTTTGCTTGCTCTGGCTTATTCTTTTCGCATGCTTCTGAGAACAAAAGGGAAAAAGAGAATTACTGAACTAAAATTTTATACGTTAGGGAAAACCTCTTTATATTAGGACATTTAGCCATATGTGAACCATTAGTCCTTATGATATTTTGGCGATCCATAGAATAATGTAGACTTTTGGAAGTAGCGCACTAATCGCGAGAGAAAGGAACGAATCGTGCACGCACAAGCGGTAACAATATCGCATTGCCTGCAATATTTTGCGCTAAACTGCACCACGTTGTCATCATCGGGGGGTAAATTAAAGGCAGAATTTAAGATGAAAAGTTAGCTTATTGGAAATGTAGAGGTGGTTAGTGGAACAGGGATGAAGAAGAAACCATGTGATGAGGCCCGAAGCCCGAGATAATGGGCCCTTCCTTGCCCGATTGCTTTCGCGTCTGATACGGTTCAGCGCGTGTCTTTTTACACTACGATCTCTCTCTATCTAATCACTCGCCACATGAAGACCTGCGGCGATTGGTTACATCGTCGATGGGTGTTCCTGGCCAGTTACGCCGAAGGGAAGGCCATCATTAGATCGCCGGAGGCATATCATTCGAAGCGAATCGCGTATTGATCAGCACCCTTAGTTGGTCCGTTTCTTTCTACAGGGTGGGGCAAAATTACTGGTGCACTAAATTTTCAATGGCATTTTGACAATAATTCTCACAAATCAATTCTAATTATCAATATTATTTACTACAAACATGACAATACAAAAAATGTTAATGCTTCTCAAAATGATCTCCTTTAGCCTTCACACAGTCCTTCAGACGTTCGACAAATGCTTCGCATGTGGCACGCAGGTACTGGTCATCGATTTCGTCCCAAGATTTTGAAAGCGCCGCCTTAAGAGAGTCCAAGTTGAAGTTTTGTAGAACGCTGGTACATGATGGACACACAGAAGTAAATCCATCGGTTGAGTATCAGGAAGAGCTGGAAGGCATTCTGTGTCTGTTGAAGTCGGACAGGTGATGCGCACACTCCTGACATCTTTGCTTGATGCTGAGCCAGAATTCTACTGGGAGCAGTAGCTTCACGAAAATGGAGTTGCCACGAGTTGAGAACTCCGCATATATTTTGTAAACCCTGCGTGACTTCTCATCAGCTTCAACGAAACACAAGTGCTTCTTCAGTAGAGTGACTCTCCCCAAACAAAGAAATGACTGGCTGTTTGCCTTCTGAGAGTCTTGCCTTGGTGTAGCATCAGCAAGATCCTGCAATAATCCTCTCATTTTGGGAGTTGAAGGCTGGATTCAGAGTAAAAATCTTTTCATCACTGAAAACGATGTCTCGGGCGCGTGCCACCGTGAATCGCTGCAGCAACTTCTTGCATCTCTCCAATCTCCTTTTCTTCATAATGTCCGTCAGGAGTTGGCATTTCTGCAAGCGATAGGGGAACTTCCTTAGCTTACTTCTGACAATCCTCCTCATTGACCTCGCGCTTACTCCAACGTCTTTCGCCATCTGGCGCATCGATCTCCTGGCGTTCCTTCGAATTCTTTCTCTGACGAGCCTCACATTTCTCCGACTCGTAGCTGTTGTGGGACGTCCTCTTCCTTCCCTGTCCTCTTCGGTCTTCAGTTCTTTATAGCGTCGTACTGTATTCTGAACCGTCCTTCGAGGTACGGAAAGGATCTTCACAATTTCTCTTGTTTGCTTGCCGTCGTTGTGAAGTTTGATGATCGCGCTCCGTAGGTCAGAACGACGGACCATTTTGTATTCGAGTACGTAGGAATTACGCAACCTCCAGGCAACATATCACAAGCGAGTGAAAGAGGAAAATCTCCAAACGTGTAAAATTCAAAGTATAGTCCACCAGAATTTTGTCAAACCTGTAAAAAGGGGACTTACTCCTTCTTCGAACTCTCGTCCTTCCGTAGAATCTCTTATATAGCGTGCTATACTCTTACTCGAATGGCATTAAGCAATGAACTTGCTCACGGTAGATGGCGCACATCAAAATGTGGACGTCTGCCGCATTACCACACACTTCTAATAAGCTGTGGTATACCGGAATATCTTGCCACTTGTCCACCCATTAGTCTCGCACCTAATTAGGGTCTGTCCGTGAGTCTCGCACAGTACATTTCAACAAGCTGTTTATTCTATTGTTGTTGCAAGTAGCGTATTTATTGTCTTTAAGGTTTAAGCTGTTGGCAACGGAAGCACCGAAGGAGCTGGCATTAGATGTCTCTGTAGATCATCGCGACGTATTGACGCGCTTAAAGCGTGTGCTCGCATCCCCTTTATCGTTTTCTTTGCGCCCTCTCAACGGAGAGAGAATGTGTCGAGCAGGCCCGCGCAGAGTACTAAGCGCCGTTTATGTAGAAGGTGGTTGATTGCCAGCAGCCCCAGCGAACGACTGGTACGTCGCTCATTTTTGGATCCTGCCAGGATGCAACGTACGTTCGCTCTCACACTGTACGTGACTGCGGCAGGAACATCATAATGCACGCTCATTCAGGTGCTCACCGTGTCCAAACGGCTTAAGCCGTTCTTAAACGTTTCTGACTTGTAGCTGTTTGGTGGTCGTTGGGTATGCCTTGGGCCGGTTTGATCCGTGATTGTTGCAGTGATTTCATAATCGGATGATGGGACTAGAGAAAAGCGTTCCTCCCAAAGTTCGACTGGTCCAACCTTGAGATGCGCCGGATTATGCCTAATATAGCATGTCCTGATGAGAGAAAACTTGCCTTCCCGAAATGCAACTGGTCAATTTTCCAACCCCCCCCCCGCAAGCTGCTCGGCAGGCTTCTTGCCAGGGCCTCTTTCAAAAAAACTAATAGTTAACAGTACCTACTATTTCCCCACTAATCAGAGGCATTGTGTGGAGAATAATCCTGCGTTCTATGCGAAACATTCCGAAACATCATTTTCTGCCCTTTTTCCGAACAAAGTGTATTAAGGGTAAGAAAACTGAGGATTTGTAAAGGGTAATGGGATGACTCTCAAAAAAATGTAGATTCCTACGAATTCAGATCGCGCTCATCGAAGCCGGAAAGATTTCGGAGTCGGAAGTAGACGGGATCGTGTCTGCTTCACATGTCCAGGCAGCAATCGACAAAAAGCGAACGGAGCATCTGGAAGGAGTACGGCGCAAGGCATGATGCCTGTAGATTCAGATTTCATTATTCGCATTGCTTGTTTAATAAATTCAAAATATTCTGAACTTTGTGACATCGAACGTTGTGGGTTGTTCAAACATGAACTCCTATTATTTCGATTCGGAATAGTTCGTCGAGAAGGCGGCTGGCAGCCTACTAACGGCCACGCATTTGGAACTTACGATGCAGGGCGAACAACGCTCGAGGAAGTCCTTCACATAGGGGCAGATTTGTTCAATGGGAGGTGGGTGGTGCAAGGGTAAGGATCAACAAGAAAATGCCTTTATGCTAGGGTAGGACCAACTCCAAGAGAGTAGATACGATTTCTCCTCTGCTGAGTGTCGCTGTAGGAGGATTTCCCGGGAAATGTACCGGAATGGCTTGATTGAGTGCCATCAGAACACTGCAGGCAGCGATGTCCGAGTGGTTAAGGAGATTGACTAGAAATCAATTGGGCTCTGCCCGCGCAGGTTCGAATCCTGCTCGCTGCGGAGATTTTGCATTCCTGCTGCTGAGTGTCGCTGTAGGAGGATTTCCCGGGAAATGTACCGGAATGGCTTGATTGAGTGCCATCAGAACACTGCAGGCAGCGATGTCCGAGTGGTTAAGGAGATTGACTAGAAATCAATTGGGCTCTGCCCGCGCAGGTTCGAATCCTGCTCGCTGCGGAGATTTTGCATTCCTGCTGCTGAGTGTCGCTGTAGGAGGATTTCCCGGGAAATGTACCGGAATGGCTTGATTGAGTGCCATCAGAACACTGCAGGCAGCGATGTCCGAGTGGTTAAGGAGATTGACTCGAAATCAATTGGGCTCTGCCCGCGCAGGTTCGAATCCTGCTCGCTGCGGAGATTTTGCATTCCTGCTGCTGAGTGTCGCTGTAGGAAGATTTCTGGGGAAATGTCTTCCACTCCTTTGTAAACTTTTCATGTAATCTTAGAGCATCAGAAGACACGCCGTTTGCGAATCAAATGCTTGTACCTTTTTAGTAGATCTGCAGCTTTTCTTTTATATTTCTGGCTGGCGAAGGATCTGCCTAGCCACCGAAAAACTCCGTTCCCCTTGTCCGTTACAAGAGTCACAATCCTCAAATTCTCTTATACACATCACCTCGATGAAGTAGATGGGAAATGATAAACACGGTAAAAACCCAATTTGTTTTGGTTAGCGCCATGGCATGACCCCTCATGAACTCTTTGGTAATGACGGCACGTCTGCTCTGCAAATTGCGGGTGTAAATGCAGGAATCGTTCCTAGCCTCTTGCTCAGGATAACTCAAGTTTCTAGCTGTAGTATGCAATGGGTAAAAGTATGCTATGATTAAAAGAGACTGTGGTTCTTCGCGTGCGAAGTTCTGAACTCACATTCTGCTCGTTCACTGGGTTACTAAAGCGGTGTACATTATTTCTGCGCTGCATTCATCGATGTGGAGTTC